TGCAGTGTTTTCTTATATTCTTACAGAAAGCTCAAGATCTGACTCCGCCTACATGATGATAAGCAGAAGGTTTTAAAATCACACACAATATCTTACAGAAAGCTGGGGAATTAAATGATTCCAGAATTTTCCACTGAACAATATTCTTAACATCATTAATATATATTTGACTCAAATAAGAACAGACATTTATATTGATTGTTTAATAAAGTCAACAGAAAACATTTCATAAAAAAAGTCTTAATATCTTCAGACACATATATCATGTATATAAAAAATAATAAAAAAACAAAAATACATAATCAAGAACATGTATGTATCTTATTGATACATACCTTGTGTATATTAAAATAAAATATAATAATCAATAACAATTACAATTTACATCAAATGATTGTTATCATGCTTGGTCAAACATTTTTGGCACATAACTCATGTAAAATAAAAAGTAATAAATAATTATAAATTTACATCAAATGATTGCATATAAAATCCAAATTCTTTTGACACATACTTCATGCGTATTTATAAAAACGAAAGATCAACACTTAATAATCAATAACAATTACAATTTACATCAAATGATTGTTATCATGTATGGTCTAACATTTTTGGCACATGTATGTATCTCATGTAAAATAAAAAAATAAAACGTAATAAACAATTATAAATTTACATCAAATGATTGCATTTAAAATCCAAATCCTTTTTGGCACATATCCCATGCATATATAAATTGTAGATCAAATGATTGCCTATTACATCAGACAAAAAAAACAATAATCATCATCCATGAAGTTCTTTGTTTTAATTTTAAGCAGAAAAAATTTCAAAAATGTAATAACCTTATAAATTAACCAAAAAATAAGATTGCACTAGTTACACAAGGAAAAATAAGACTGTATTGTACTCAATGGGATCAATTCAATTCTTTATTGCAAAAGACATACGTCTTATAGCATTTATACAATATAAACAAAAGAAATAAAGGAAATTATGGCTGGTCAGTCTTGTAAACCCTTATGAAACATGCACATATATACATATAAACTCATTTTAACAGTCTTTACAGTTCATATGGAGAATGACATGTTATAAAGCAGATATAATCATATCAATCATATAATAATATAGGAGTAACAAATCAGCAAATGACACACCATTACATTATTAAATCATTTCTAAGCGCGAGGGCTTTATAGATAAACTTCCCTAAACTACATAGTTCTTTTACATTATTCACACTTAGCAACTGTATTAATTAGTACATAGATGGTCTATACCAATAATATTTTTTCAAAACCTTTGTCCGCAATGTTGAATAAATTGGGCAAACAAGTAAAAAATGGTATTCATCTTCAATTTCTGTAGTACATATTTTACAGAATCTTTTGTCTCTTGTTATATTTTTATGCCTACCAGTTTCAATAAACAGATTATGCGAAGACAACCTCATTTTAGAAATACATTTTTTGTACACCTTAGGTATCGATTTTTCTAAATAATATTGCAAGCAAAAATTGTCGATTAAATGTTTATAAATATAACATTTGATTCTATTTGCATTTTGCTATATTGGGTCTGTATAAAGTGATCATTAAGTCTTTGACGAATGATTGGCAGACAGATCCGACTATTCAGATTCCTTTGGTCGTTCCACATATACCCAAGGCCCAAACAATGTAATTGCTCCTTGATAAATTTTGCCCAACTTTGATAATTTTGCTTATCATTTTCACAACTATAATAAGACCAATCATAAGCAGCTCTTAATATACAATTTTCAGACTGTAATAATTTAAACCAGAATTTAAACATTCGATACATACGAATAAGGTACATGGGTAGATGTCCTGTCTCAAAGTACAACATGGACGTGTTTGTAGTTTTACGAACACCGAGTACATATAGTATAAACTCAAGATGAATCTTTTCAATGTCTTGGCCTTTGTGGGATCCCCAAACTTCACATCCATAGTTTAAGATACTACACACATAGGTATCAAAAATAGAAAACAAAGTACAATGATTTAAATAAAGCTGCTTCATTGTTGATTTAAGAGCGAACATGGCCTTGCGACCTTGTGCCGCTAATTGTTTTTGGGCATTAAGGAATTTACAGTTAAAGTTAAACACAATGCCTAAATAGACAAACTGGTCTACTATTTCTATATTTTCACCATTATAGGTCCATTTTTCATTTGCGTGGACTTTCCCACCATTTCTAAAAACAACAACTTTAGTTTTTGATACATTTACATCTAGACCCCACTCGTGCGTATATATTTCTAGTGTATTTAACATGCTCTGTAATTCATCAATTGATTCTGAAAACAATACCATATCATCTGCATACATTAAAAGATAAAGGCTTAATAGCTGCAAATCAGTAGGCGTGTTACCCTGCTTTATGAACTCATTCTCAAGATCATTAACATATAATACAAACAGCATGGGCGATAAAACTTCCCCTTGTAAAAGACCAACATGACTTTCAAAAAAATTTGATATACGATCAGAGGATTTTACACAGCTTCTAATTCTAGAATACATGGAACGAATAATTGTAAGAAGTTTCCCTTGTATACCATAATACCATAATACTTCAGTTTTCTATATAATTTTTCCCTAATGATGGAGTCAAAAGCCTTCTTATAATCCACAAAACAACAATAAAACCGTTTTTTAGTTGAAATAACATCTCAACAAAATGATATAGTTTGTTGAAACCCTCGAAGTTGTTCAATTCCCACTTTAATAAATGTCAATGAATTAAATGTAATTATATGAGGGATACACATCTGAGTACAGGTATTATTTATATAAACAATATAAGTAAAACTACGGTACAAAAATATTGAACTTAATTGGCCGGTTGCGTATCTCAGATTTAAACCTACGATCAATGATTCCGGGTTTAAATCCAAGTTTTCGCGTTGCACGCATGTAAGGATTGGCTGAGTACGGCTCAGAATTACGGTAAATTCTGAACCTGGTGTAGAGGTGGTTTAAACCCAGCTTTACAAGGTTTCCATGTATTTTTAGGTAGAATATTTCGACATTTTGAAATATTTCGATGTTGCAGAAATGTTTTATGGCAATTATGATTGCATTGATATATTTTGCATTATCAAAAAAAGCTATTCTACAAAATAATTTTTTGGCCATGTTGCAGCAACATGGGGATTTTTCTTTTTGCACACCTCTTCAACAACTGTTCAATGTGCCGTTTTCACACTGATTTAGCTGTAGTATGAAGTTTTGGAAGATACTTTTAATTAAAATGCATAAATGTACATAAACAGGAATTTTATGGAAACTCTCTAATATACCAAATTTAAATCAAATTACGAATTTTAAACTTTCGAACAGCTGATGATACACATTCCAATAATTTCTAATAATGCCGAATTTCATGAGGATAAAAAGTCTTTCAGTTATCAGTGAATCAGGCTATCTACAGGGCCGGATCGGAGGAACCGGGCACGGGGGGGGGGGGGGGGGGGGGGGGGGGGGGAGGGTATGTTCGTCCCCTATAATTTTGCCGCTGTATAAAATTCTACAGAAAACATAGATAATAATTTAGTGTTTTCTCAAAAATAATGTCTTATAATTTTTTTTCATTTGATTTTAAAGTAAAAATCTAAATTTATACATTTTTGCTTTATTATTTACCTGTGTTTTGATTTTGTTTCTTGTTTCTAATTTACTTATTCCAAAGACCCCATTCATGTTTTCTTCTTTTCAGTCTTATGCAAAAGCTGTATTCTGTTTGCGTTTTTATATTTTCTTATGGTTTGAGTTTCGATGAAAGATGCCGTGATTTGAGTTAAATCATGTAAATTGAAAATATGTTACGCACGGTATTGGTGACGCTTTCTATTGATTTTCCTTCTATAGGGAATATTGACATGCATTACTCTATAATAGTGTAAATAAAAAGTGTCTTTAACTATATAAAACCCAGGGATACCTTCATGCTGAGTTTTACCAAGTCGCTCACTGATATGAGTAATTTTACGTTCCGTTTACGCGACGTTAAACGTCATTTATAACGTTACCAAAGAACTTTATTCGGTAATAACCAATATTTGCCCCCCAAATCAAACTTTGATGGGGATATATTTAATTAAGTTCTTAAACAGGGGAGTATATGCTGACTTCAAAACACTGAATATTTTCATAAGTAATGACGCCATATGTACGTAATGACGTCACAAACATGACATAAATTTCAGTTTTTTATGAATTGTACAGAAAAATGTACATATTTCGTCGATATTTTGAGTAAAAATCACCGAGCGCATGTGTGTTCAGGATCAATATTTTGATGTATAATGTGTAGAATGATAATATCAATGAAATATGTCAATATTGTTCCTGAACAAACTTGCGCTCTATAAATTTTAAAGCTAGAATTGTTGAAATTTTGTCCATTTTGTCCTCTTTCTGAAAAAGGATATAAAATCGGACTAGTTTGTGACGCCATAAAAACAAAAATTGTGAATACACTGCTTTGACACTATAATATTTTCTCTTAATTTATATTTCTCATACAATTTATTGAATTCAGCACATTTCAGGAAGTTTTCAAAATTTGACTTTTGTGGGGGGCAAATATATGCAATATACCGCATATAGTTCTTTGACACCAACACCGTGCGTAACGTGATAGCATTTTTTCAGCATTATCAATTTACAATTTAACATCAATATATATCATTGTTTTTAAATATATCCTTTTAATTTTCAACCATTTACTAGTATTAAAACTTGTTTCAAAGTGCAGTAATATTAGGGAACCTATTATCCTTCAACATTTTATACGAGTAAGTCAAGATTAGGTAAACCTTACTCAGTTTTATAGCGTGCAACAGAAATGCGACTCAGGTAATCCCGACTCAACTGGGGTTTAAACCCGGCTTACGTGATCCACGGATCAACCATTGAGCTGTACTTATCTGAACCATGGGTACGCAACCGGCCAAATGAGTTTCAGTCACAGCCATTTATTCTGGTTCATTGGCTATTGCTTGGACACTGTCAAACTGTTCTGCTGCCTGAGGTTTCTTCAGCAGGATTAGCATTGTTGTTAACATCTAAAATTGTAGAAAATTCTTCTTATGATGTATTTAAACTTTAAATAAAATTATTAGTAATCACAAAAAGAGAGGCCTATGGGCCACATTGCTCACCCTTTGCCCAGGAACTTTAGCCATGATGCTGTTCTTAACCAGATCTCCCCCCTTGCAAATTTATATTGTGCACCCCCACCCTACCCCCCTCAGGGGTCATGAATTGTAAAATTTATAATCTACACATGACAGACAAATTTTAATAGAAAAATGTCACCTGAAAAACTCCTGCAACTTAAAGATACAAGATTTTTTTCTTATTAATGATTTTGCATAGTCTGAAAGTTTAATGAAACCATTCATAAACATCATACCGTTGACTTCAGTGCAATCTCTAAGATTAAGTGGAGGTATTGAGGCAATGGTTGAATAGGTCAGCTGCTCAACTCTGTCTAAGTAAAAAGAAAATATATGGAAATAACAAACAGTATTCAAGTTCAAAAAATACAAATCTGGTGCAGGTCAAATATGGACCTGTATATAATAAGGGACAAATCCAATATCAATAAGTGTCTTGTTTGGCGTGCATAATTTGGTCAATTTACCAACTCCAACGAACAAAAAAAAAAAAAACAAAAGAAAAACAAGAGGCTCACGGCCCACATCGTTACCTGAATGGCTTTGACCATTCTGTTCTTAACCAGATTTCCCCCTTGTAATACATATTGTGACCCCCCTAACCCACTGATCATAATTAGACTTATTAGACTAATTACACTAACCCAGGATGATTTCAAACAAGTTTCATCTTTTCTGGCCCAGTGGTTCTTGAGAAGAAGATTTTTAAAGATTTTTCCTTTATATTTCTATGTAAAACTTTGATTCCCCATTGTGGCTCCGCCTAACCCCCTGGGGTCATGATTTGAACAATTTAGCTCTTCCTACTGTCTGACTGAGGTAAGAATTTGGAAGAATCCAGAACTATGTGCAACATTTTGTATGCAATGAATATCCATTTTTTTTCAATGGGTGGCACAATAGTAGATAGAATCTTCTATCGTTAAAATGGTAAATGTCCTACGGACCCGGTTTAACGATAGAATTTGTTCCGTGTATCCGTAACGTAGCAAAAGAAACAAGGGTGATAACTCGTAATCAGTGCATTTACCACTGTTTACTATGAACAATCTAGAGAGTTCCGATTGTAAACATGGCAGAAAAATGTTGACAAAATTTATTGGATTTTTGCCTTTATATGGATTGTATTTTGGGTAAAAAGGCATAATTAAATGCAATCTCAAAAAGGTTTGTTTTGATTAATTTATTAGTTATTTCCAGTGCAAATCCTTTTATATTCTTCAAAATCATTTCGGAGTGGATCCACTCCGATTTGCTACATTGCAAGTATATGGGACGTATTCTAACTGTGGTGAGGGCGTGTTCCAAGACACAGTTAGATTATTATAACTAGCACAATAGCTCTCCGGGATTGTCATAAATATGTATTTTTTCGGAGAGTTGTAGATCTGCTGCAGCTAACAGGTCCAGTCCAAAGACTATTTCTACCTACGTAGGTATTAATAGCTACGTAGGTATTTAAAGCTACCCAAAGTAGCTATTTTTACCCACTTTCTGCTTTACTTGCATTTTGAGGCCAAATGCAGGAACGGCGCAAAATGGTGAGCACACACTTTCTTGATACAGTCACTCTGATGATGAATATGACAAAAATTTGGCCAAAAAATGAAAACTTCGTATATAATCAATTTTGCATAGAAACTAATGTAAAATTGCCGATTCAGGAAGTAATCATTTTTTTGCAAAAGTTTTGTCGTATTCATCATCAGTGTGACCATATCAAAAAATATGGTATTTACCATGTTGAGCCGTTTGGTCTTTTGGTCGCAAAATGCATAAATTATATAAAGTAGGTAAAAATAGCTACTTTTGGTAGCTTTAAATACCTACGTAGCTATTAATACCTACGTAGGTAGAAATAGTCTTTGGACTGGACATGGCTAAACCTATTGTTATGTCATTTTGTTGCCATAAACTTTTAACTACATAAGTAGCAAGTTTAGGAATCATATATATTCAAGACTTGTTTAGGAAAAAAATCAAGTTAAAGTATAATAATTCAAGGATATTATTTCATAACTTGGTCAATTTGACGAATTTCTTATTACCTTCATCTATTGGGACTGATAGCTGTAGACGCCCAAATTCCCGGCTCAAAACTGGTGTGATGCCTCAGTCTGGTTTCGTTTTAGATAAACCATGAAAGGGATGTACACAATATCTCTCGCCCCGTTTCCAGTACAGACCAAGCGCGTATCTGATTCTTTGGCAAATTTTCTTGTTTAGCTGTGCTAATGTGATTACATCGATACCTGCTCTGGATAGAATTAAATAACTTTCGGGCAGATCTATACCCTTAGAGTTAAGAGTCCAAATATCTGAGGTGGTGAAAGGTTTTTTTAACACAGCCGTTCAAATAATATATCGCCGTTTCTTCACAATCTTCACCAAAATCACACATACCCGACGACATCGCTGCCATTTTCCCTCCATGTAAATAATGACTTTTTTACTCTTCATGCACTGAAGAGTTCGAAAAGATCGATAATTCGGTAAAAAATAAAGAGATTCAAATGTGTATATCTCGAGATTCATTGTAAATCCAAGAAATTCCTTGAAATATGTTGTGTAAAATAACTAAATAAATCAGATAGATAATTATAAACAAAAGTTCACCCGTTGTATCAAACACAGCACTGCGTTTCTCATAGAGATATAAAAAGTCAAGTGAATTTTCTTTTATAAAACCTTTTGAATTTCCCAAATTAATAAGATCTGGTAAACAAAATTCCACTACAAACAAAAAGTTATACTTATAAATTCAACATAAAACACAAAATTTTTCAACATTGATTCATTTTATTTTTTTGAAGGGCTTATAAAAGTGCTATTTTTCCTTGAAAATCCAGCCCACCAGTGGGCTATAAATAGATTCGGGGCTATCTCGATTAGGAGGACACCTTTGTTAAAATTTTTTTCACAATAGTTATATAGGTCCATTCTCTTCAAAATAATGTATTTAAAATCATCTTTTTAAAATGTGACTAGTGTAACAAATTTTTAATTTTGCATGATTTTCTCGTAGACTCGCTCTTAATAATGAGTAAATTGTGCAGGTAAGATTAAATACTCTTCCTGATAAAAACTAATTAAACTTCTAAAGAGTCTTTGAAGTCAAAATGGCCAATGCGTACTCGGAATTATCAAAGGGAAATGGAGTCATGGGAAACAGTACTCTCTGGGTTATTCTTCCCAATCAGTACAAGGTTATCACGTGTCACGAGTACCTAATCCAAGGTGCGTGACCCATTAGTATTATGGTCTGTTCCCTGAGAGGAGGCAAGGTTTTTTGTCCAGGTAATGTGGTTTTTACGAGTTGATGGCATCAACTCAAGTTTTGTTATTGGTAAGGGATTCTCCATGAATCGAAGCTAATCACGTTTTCGTTTGAGTATTTTGCATACAGATTCTTGTATAATATTGGCTTATTTACAATATTCATGTGCTACAGAATAAGAATATGTTTTCTGATATGATTTGAAGTGTTTATAAATTTAAATACTTATTATTTTATTTTTCTGGAATTTGTGTCAATCCGCGAGAGAAAATAGTGCAAGGGGCATGCATGCAGTCAAAAATTGTGACATATTGTGCAAACAGAGTTTTGACTGCTAAGTCAATGAATACTAGTATTTTCAACTATTTCAACTTATTTTAAATAATTTGAAAATATATTTTGAAAGAAAATTTACACAATTAAATATTGTACAAACGAGGTTATTTTTACAAGACTGACGTGTTAGTGGTATATAAATAAATTAATCCTTGCGCTGATCCAGTATGCTAATGACCAGTGCAATTTTCCAGGGATAACTAGTGATGAAGTGTTTATATATACCTGGTAGAACATTACTTATGTTTGTAAACAAAGCGAGAAACACCTAGTTAAGATAGTCGAAGTATATCAAATATCAATCTGAAAGGGAAGAAATGAGCTGTGTCAGTTGATCAAATATTTTTATGTAAATGCCATTACTTCTTGTGCAAACAATAAAAGAACCACTGTCTTTCACAATTTAGATCTGTATCACAGCAAGCTTTAAATACAGTAAAGGTCACTTTACATGTCTTATCTTATTGTCTGCGCTACTCTGGAAAGAGAGTTCTAAGTCCCTGTCTCTTATGGTTCTAAAGTTATGGCAAAGGTTAAAGTTGACAACAGACAGAAAGAAAAACGGATAAACAGACAGGACAAAAACAATATACGCCCGGGATTTATCGATCTGGGCGCATAAAAAACATGAAGACTCTTTCCCTTTTATCTTTGGTATAATAAAATTCTTATTTGTTGCACTTCATGTGATATTATTTAATACAAAATGTTCATGGAGGTAAGCTGGTGCATAACCATGATATATATTAATCAAACTTAACTCAATATGAGTTAAGTTGTATTATAGAAATGAGTAGATAAACTTTTATAACATAGATAAAGAGGCATAACTCTTGCAACATTTAAACATCATTGACTTTTGACACTACCCTTCAAAATCATTAAACTTTGACACCATCTCCCTTTTATACCAGCATATATACTACGCGCGCGCCAATTGCAAATTCTTTCTGGAAATTCTTCTCAACAAAATTCAACAGACTAACTACCATCGAAGGAATCCTTCAAACTTTATTAGCCATTCTATAATTTTGTTAAAGTATTTAGGTCATCAAAGCAACGGTACGTACTTACTTCTATTTATTTTGATTTGGTTGACGTCATTTAGGCTTGTAAAATTGGTAACAGATTCCAGCTCCACCATCATCCTCTCGGCATTTGCCGCCATCATTGTTGCATGGTTTGTTTGAATTTTAAAGAAAACTTAAGGTTCTTCTGTTTACGAATAAGAATTTACAATTATAATGAATTATAATGATTTTGAAACACAGTAAAACCTGCACTTCATGATTTTATAATATTACCCAACGGTAATATTCGTCGGGCCCGTGCAGGCCCGCTTAGCTAGCCTTAGGCTACCATGCATGTTATAACAGTAAATATATTAGTCTTACGAATTCCTAGGGAATGTTGCGATGTAGCAAAAGAAAATCCAAGTCACCCTATGCTAGGCCTGTCAGGACCCCAACTGACAGGTCCATTGCAGACACGGCCCCCGTGATCACGGCAACCCAGGTGTCACAGCCAGCCAGCCAGACTGCTAATTCATCGGTGGCAACCCTTAATCCTCCTGAAGTCCCACAACTTCCTGAAGTCCCTCATTCAGCTAGCGTGAACTCCGAATCCTCAGTGGCAACCTCTTATCCACTTTCTATAGGGGATATTACAACGGAGTAATCCTTGACATCAGGTGAAAACCCTTTAATTAATATTACGGATGAGCTTGGGGTTCATGTCCCCCAGGCCATCAAAGAAAAAAATTGGTCAAAGCAATATATTGATTTGGCAAAAGTTATTATTTCAGAAATAGATAATCAAGATACACATAAATTCTCAATTGTTGAAGGGCAATTGGTCATCGAACCAAAAACCAAAACAACCAAAATCATTACAATGCAAAGTTGGGTTGATGTCTTTTTGATATTCGCTAGTATATACCTAGCTAGGCATCCTTCAGATATTCAGGGCATATTGAAATATATACACACAGTGCGCCTAGGCTACAGCCGAAACACAAATGCTAATTGGCTTGAATATGACAGACAGTTCCGTCTCAAAATGTCCAAAAATACATCACTTGGCTCAGTCGACGCAGAGTTGTTGCTAATATATATGCAGGCCCAACCCAGCCTCAATGCTCCACAACTAAATGCATCAATTAAATGCTTTGATTACAATCTCAAAGGCTCATGCTCCAAATCACAGTGTTTTTATCAACATGCATGCATGCACTGTAACAAGACCCATCCACGTGTACACTGCTTGGCCTACTAGTCTACACTTACTAAATCTTCAATGCCTAATACCAACTACCAACAGTCTAACACAAGATTAAATCTAACTCGCCCAACTGCAGGACAGCAAAATTATGCCCATCAATCTTCCTCGAATTTTCGTCCCTATCGCCCAAGGCAATACCAGTCACCAACACCAAGATTTAACACGCCTAGGTTTTACTCCAATTAAGCTCCCAGTATTACAGAAATACCTAGCTTTGTACCCTCAAGTTCAAGATGCCCAATTGTTACTCAATGGTTTTACATCTGGTTTTTATCTGAATTATGCAGGCCCTCAAGACTATTTACAACCAAAAAACATGAAGTCTGCTAAGGAACACGTGCAAGAATTATTGTCAATTATTAAAAAAGACATAAGCTTAGGTCGCATGGCAGACCCTTTCCCTAGCCCCCCCCCTCCACTCCAACCTTAGATGCAACCCGGTCGGAGTGTTGCCTAAAAAAGATGGGGGGGGGTGGAGGTTGATTTCAAACCTGTCGGCACCAATCGGTAATAGTATCAATGAACAAATTCAGCTCTTTCGACCAAGCAATTTCCATGATTCAAAAAAATGGGAAAGGGGCATTACTCTGTAAGATGGATTTGAAAGTGCATTTAGATTATTACCAATCCACCCTACAGATTTTTCCTTATTAGGTATGTGTATTCAAGACAAATATTATTATGATATGAGCATGTCATTTGGTTGTTCCATAGCTTGTTCAACATTTGAAAAATTCTCATCATTCCTGCACTGGTTAGTAGCACAAAAAGCCAAAAATCAAAACATTATTCATTACCTAGATGATTTTTTATTTGCAGGGAGTCAAAATACTCCACAATGTTCTCAACTCGCTGAAACATTTAAGCTAACCTGTGGCGAACTAGGCGTCCCAATAAATGATAAAAAAAAAAACGAGGGTCCCTGTACAAGATTGCGTTTCCTAGGGTTAGGGATTGACACAGTAGAACAGGTAATCTTTATTCCTGACAACAAAGCTATAGAACTACAGTATAAGCTTACCTCACTGCTTTCATCCAAAAAAGTAACACTCAAGGAAATGGAATCACTTTGTGGGTCCCTAAACTTTTTTCAAAAGCCATCCCAGGTAGCAGAGCATTTAATTGCAGGTTTTACAATGCAACAATTGGCATTAAGAAACATTACTTTTTGATAAAGGTTACCCAAGCCGTTAAGGATGACTCTAAGGTTTGGCTAACATTTTTTAAAGACTACAACGGGCGCTCTCCATTCCCTGAACTATCCTGGTCAAGTAACGAGTCCCTTAACCTTTTTACCGATAATTTCGGTTCCTATGGTGGAGGTGCAATTTTTCAGAATCACTGGGCAGTTATTTCCTGGCCAGAATCATGGGGCCCAGATATTCGAAGAGATATCACCTTTTTAGAACTAGTACCAATTCTGTTGGCTATTTGGGTTTGGGCGGATTATTTTGCAGCAAAGAAATTATTGATAAATACCGACAACATTGCTTTGGTTTATATTCTTAATACCCAAACAAGCAAGTCTCAAAGGGTCATGACACTTTTAAGGCCATTGATATTGCTTTGCATTAGGCATAACATTCAGATTTAAACTATCCATGTTCCAGGTTATCAAAACTCTATCGCGGATTCAATTTCTCGATTTCAGTGGGAAAGATTCAGAAACTTGGCTCCTCAGGCAGACATGATTCCAGTCACTATACTTCCGGCATTGATAACTCTCTTAAACGACGTGTAGAAAGTTTGCTCGAAGCAGCAGTATCTTAAATACTGCTTCAACATATCAGAAGGGCATTAACTCTTTTGAAACCTTCCGCTCTAAATATAATTTTGCCTTGACTTGGCCTCCACCAGTCCATCAGATTATTAATAACATTGCATACCTCCATACAAACCATATATCACATGCCACAGCAAGATGTTACTTAAGTGGTATCAGTTACAAAATCCAGTTAGAGGGGGGTTTGGGCAACACTAAAGCCTTTCTAGTTAAGAAAATGTTGGAAGGCTTCCGAAGGCTAAATCCAGCAAAAGACCTTAGATCCCTAATTTCCCTACAAATATTGCATCAAATGGTATCAATTCTTCCAAGAGTTTTTTTTTAAACACCTGTGAAGCCACAATGTTTTCAACTGCTTTTTATTTAGCATTTTTTGCACTGCTGCATATTAGTGAATTTGCTTTCACCAGTAACCTTACACCAGTACTATTTTTCCAAGACTTCACCATTGATGAAGAAAAAATTTCTTTGTTTATCAAAGGTTCAAAAAATGATCAATATCGTAGGGATACCACATTACAAATTACATACAATCCTCAAAGTGCATCTTTATTTGAGCATGGGCCCATTATTCTGCCATATCAACGCTAAACCTCTCACCAAATATCAGTTCACATCACTCCTACACAAAGCCGTGAAATTCATTGGTTTAGACACATCTATATTCAAATCACACTCATTCAGAATAGGTGGGGCTACTCATTTATATTCACAAGGTGTTTCTGATGAGGACATTAAGTCCAAAGGTAGGTGGAGGTCTAATGCATTCAATTCTTACATTAGATTGTAACGGTTATCATCATACCTGTAACATGCCGTATTCTAACGGAATACCAATTTTGCAGGTCTACAGCTATGTACGTCAACGCTATAACGCCAGTATTTATCCTCCACCTCCCTCTGTGTAAAAACAGTCTCCCTGTCATGGTACTAGGGCAGAATTTTGTCCGCTTGTGGCGGATGTCTTCATGTAATATATTAATCTATTTATCATACATGAAGACATATGGCCGAATTTTGCTTAAGCCTGCCACTGATTCTGTTTTCTTCCAGGTCTGTGGCCAATAATTGGGCTTATTTTAATTGACACTTTTATGGAATACATTGAGTGCTTGAAAACATTGATGAACTGATTGATTGTCATATTGACTGATTGAAAAACTCATTGATTGAAAATGTTGATTGATATGTTGTTTATTGTGTCGATGTAGATCACCTATATAACATAATGCAATGATATACTGATTTGATATAGTGTTTGTCAAATTTCATTTCAACATGTATTAGTAAAGTAAAGCCATGGCAAAGACTGCCAATACTGTGTTGTTGATCTATTCTATTGAAATAAAACATGATTTAATCTAAATTGTTTAGCTCTATCCTCCACTCTTAACATATTTAAAAAGGGTAAAATATTAACAGAAATAATCTCTCTTAATCTAAGGTTTAAAATGAACCGCACTACTTTGTTCGGGGTTTCTTGTAATCTGTGTAAGTTGTTTGTTTATTCCACAATACCAAAAAGAACTGGCATAGTCAAAATAACATTGTATCAAGGCAGAACATAGGGTCTTTCTAGAATGTGTACCAAGACAGGGTGCATTTTTATATAAAAACTTAAGTCTAGCTTTAACTTTTTGTATGAAACTTAAAACAATATTTTCACATGAAAGAAACTTGTCAATACAGATTCCTGAATATTTAACACTGTCAGAACCTTTAATAATGTGACCATTACACACAATTTTTAAATCTGTGATACTTTGAAGCTTTCTTGGAGGACCAAATAAAATAGAATTTGTTTTACCTAGATGTCTTACCTTTCAATCTATTGTCAACTAACCAAGAGGAACATTTGTCAAGAACAATGCCCACTTTTGAGCAATAATAACAAGATTCACTAAGTAAACGATCTTCATGTAAATAGCATTTTGAGTTCTTAAAAGTTTATTAACAGTTCTTCTTATGATAGCAATTTGCTTTCAAATATAGGTGAGAAGTCCAATTATACCTACTAAAAATATTCCAGTCTTCTAGTTTTATATTACATGTAGTTAGGAAGAATTTAAAATTTTAACATGTTCTGATCTTACAGAAATAACTATATACCTACACATGCAAATTCATAAGGAGATTTATTCATCATTGTTTCCTATTGAATAACTGGAATAAACATTTTCTATGTTTTCTAAATGGTCTTGTTGGACACGATTTCTAATAAAGCGTCGAACTAGCACTTGAACAAGCATCCAACACAGGAAACCACAGAAAGATACTGCAGACAACAACGCGAAACAACAGAATGATATGGGGACATCACTGGAAGTAAATTTTAATGCATAATTCTATATCATAATAGAAATGTCTCAAAATTAAAAAAAAAATGATGTTGTGTTATTTATAATTGGTCATCTCTTATTTCCACCTGATATTGATCGTGATATATTGGATACAACATATTATGGTGTCTTGTCTTTTTTAACCAAGAAATAGTTATCATAATTAATACAAGTACAAAAGTACTTGTCAAAACTGCACAGATAGCTGAAAAAAAAAATTAAAGAACATCCTCATATAATTCATCAGTGTGTGGTCTAAAATAACCTTCTGAATCAAAAGAGTCAAGTGAAAGACAAGTACTCGATCCAGTATATAAATTGGACTATTTAAAGACTGGTTTTGTTTTACTTTGATATGCAATACTCTTTAAAAAGTTATTGTTATAATAATTGTAATGAGTGACAAACAAACAGAAGAAATGGATAAATATTTACTTATAAGAATGGTTACTGCTGTATCCGTAGTCGATGTTGTATCCACAGTCGATGTTGTATCCGACCGCTGTCGGAGGTGGCTGAAATATTTAAAATTTATTAGAAAAATCATAAAAGAAATAAGATTATAAGGCACTTTTTAACATATTTGGTAGTCTTAGATGGTTGAAACATAAAAAAGTTGCATAATAACGCAATTCATGACCAATGCTACCTTATCTTTTTCTGATATTTGCAGCTAACACTGAGTTATGACTATTGATAAACAATTGCATAATGTAGGTAAGATAAATTAAGAGATATATATAATACCAATGTTTGAAACTTAAAAATAAATGTAATACCTTTACATTCTTAGATTAACGATATGGTTGAACAAATGAATAGATCAAGTTAGCTTTAAAAAAATTAAAATCATTTCGTAATGAATTAATTTGAAGCACCTTCTACACTAACCTTAACGTCCTGGCCGGGGGATTCTCTTGTGGTGGTGGTTATCTTGGTGAGAAGCTAGTTGGAAGGCTAGGGGGACACGAACATAGAATGTCAAATGATAAACAAAATACACAGATACAAACACATGGCCACAAAAATACTTACACAATGTGAAAAGTAAATTTTACTAATAAATGCAGTTAGTTGATAGTTAGTGATGGTTGATAAATTGAACCTTAACCTTAACATCCTGAGATGAGGATTCTCTTATTGTGGTGGTTGATTGATTTTATATTGTTTAACGCCGAGTCGGCAATTTTTCAGCCATATTTCGGCGGTATTGTGGTGGTAATCTTCGAGTCAATTTCCGAGAACCTTCTGCTAGAGGGAAGGCTAAGGGGAAAGTCCTAAAGAAATAACAGTAACAAAATGAAAACATGTAGAATGTCACACGATGAACAATATACACAGATATGAAAGAAAAATACCATTCACATTTCAAATCCCCTCAAAACACCTGCACAACATGACTCGATCTTAGAATTCTTTCAAGATTTGTGCAAACATCATCACATTCCGCAATGAAAATCCTGCGGACAGAATAACTGCAGCTTAAATCAATGGCTGATGATGCGTCAAAAAATTGAAACACGACTTCTCTGATAGTAAGGGCGACGCACCCACTATATAACACACCAGAGCTCTAGTCACATACCATCTTGTAGTCATTGTCTGAACATTGATAAAAATTAAAGCTATTTACGGAAGAAAATCCAAAACTTATAGCAAGAAGTGTGGCAAAAAATGTTGTACTCATATTCCTGGATCTACCTGTAATCACGCGAAAATCAGCAAATTCAATAATCAGATATCGAACCCGATGTATATTACAGTGCAGGGAAATATTTTTGTTACAGCATCAATGCTGATTTTGATGCTTCCTTTGCTTGCTGATTTTGATGCTAGTTATCTTTATCCTGATCCTGGTTTGATCCTTATCCTGATGCTGGTTTGAAACTAGGACAATGCTAGTAATGCTACCGGAAGTAGGATTATCCTGCCGGAAGTGGATAATTCAAAAACAGCATCGCTATTTTAAGCCATTAAAAATAATTTTTGGAGTGATTTTTATTTGTAATTTGTATTAAATGGCTTTTCTTTATCTGTTTTCACTTTTTAACGAAAAAAATAGCGATTTTTAAAGAATGTCGTTTTGCAATCGTATAGAAACAAAATGGCGACAAGGTGGAAGTTGGGAGTAAATGACTATATATTCATCTTGCGAAGTTATCGTAACATATTATTTGATATGGATTACAGCTTACAGTGCGATGATTTATCCTATTTGTGATGCGATTTCGATAGGTGGAGTAGCCCTTGTGTGTCCAACGTGTAGGCATGGAAACGTGATTGACATGAACATGCTGAAGTTTATGTCAAATCCAGATGAAAATTTATTGCGTGTCCTGTGAATATTTCAGCGAAATTATTATGCTTTAAATGGAAAAGTCGTAATCCAAGGAACCAATAGATCATCAGTACAGTCACTACAACCACTCAGAGGGTATGTAAACAGTGTTTTTTTAATCAGATTAAATAAAAATGGTAAAGATGATGTGAAACAGATTAGTGTTACAAAAAATTAAAAGCTCAAATTCTGAGCGATTAAGGCATTTAAACATGTTAAACCCATGTGATATTAAAAGGTCAATTTTTACAATTGAATAAGAAATAAATGAATTTTTTTTTATTGAGAATCTGCAGATGCAGTATTCTGTAGTTAATCCACAAGGTATCAAGACAGATTATACATAACCCATTGTTGCAACCCACGGCCAAAATGTACAATCTTCTCCCATTCTGACGGTGGTCAAATGAGAAAGAATATTTTGTAGCTCGATCATTAATATTTTTAGCTCATTGAAATATTGACCGATGCAAATACATGTAAATCAAAGTCAGATATTTTACTTTGATCATGATACCCAGTCGCAGTGTAAGAAACACTGTCGAATGAATGTAAATTGTTCATTTTTTAACTGGTATGGAAACAAACCCATGTTTACTTACAATGTCATATGACGTCACAATAAAGATTGAGGCATCAAGATAAAGATAAGGAATTTTTTTGTGATCAAGCACAACTTTCTCACAACTGTGAATTGCAAATTTTTGGTGTCACTTCCGTAGTGAATAAGAGAATTTAACATGCTTAATTAAGTATGGGTAATGCGCGCCGGAACTGGTTGTTGGTTCGTTTTGCAAAGAAACATCAACTTGACTGAACAACGACTGCAGTAACAAGTTTACAGCACCAACTATATCTGCAGCTTCTAATGCATTTTCTCCATTCATGACCTTTGGCTTGATGTAAATCCTGGTTTTCTTGAGGTCAATATAGTCCATTCCATTTTGAGCTGATTATTGATATTCAATTGGTGATCTGTCTGAAATCTGAGATATAGGTCGCACATCTTGAAAGTAATTGTTTCCAACGGCTGTCTGTGTGGGTGGCATATCAAACAGAGAAAGTTGACTTGGCATTGCTTCCCTAAACGTTTCCGCTGATAACACTGACATTTAATGTCGATCCCTGACAACGATGGAATGATGGAGAGAAAGGGTTAACACTGTATGCCCCAACTTTTCCATGGTGGGGACATAAAAAAAGTGGGTTAAATTGTCCTTGACTGATTACTTACCAATAGACAATCAGGTATTTCATAGGCAAATCCTTATTTTCAGGTACTCTGATGGGCTTCTTGGAATAAATGAAAATTTT